TCTGAATGATTCTTCTTCATTTTGGAATGTTTTCCTACCCGATATTCAAAGATGTGTCTTAAATATTATACTTTACATTGATCACGATTCTTGTACTTTCTGACTTTACGACTACCGTTCACATTTGCAAGAGTTGTTGATTTAATTGCCTTGATCGTTGGTCGAACTTCGATTCCAACTTAATCAGATTAATCAATTAAGCAATGTAATATCATGTTTATCCAAGCAAATAATTTTAACAACTACATTATTTTTTAACAGTTTTGACACCTAAGCAGGGTAGCCTAGTGGCGTAGACTGAGGCTACTTTGCGGTTGAACGTCGTGGGATACGGAGGTCCCGCGTTCGAGCCCCAGGTACGGAGTTGTTGATCATTGTCACTACGGACAACCGGTCCGAAGGTCCAACCGTTTACCGGCCCTTGGCATGGGTTGGTTCTCTGGCCGCTCTTGCTGGAGACAGATTGTGAGACTGTGGTTGGTTCCTCCACTAACGTGCTTTAGTAAACTCCGGGAGTCATATAGTATGGTAGCGGGCCCCCACCAAGGGCAGTAGTGGAACGACGCGAATCGGTCACAGTATGGTTGCCTTGCAACTGAAGAGACTCGAGGAAATCATGCCATTCGCAGTGACCCAGAAAAGACTTTTGCTTCTTAATTTGACGTTTTAATTCATTTATTTACTTACTCGTTATTCATATTACTTTCCAGGCAGTTATGATTTTTATTGGTCAAATGAATGAACGAGACACTATTAAATACATCTAGATAGTATTAAAACCATAATTCGATTTGCTGTTGGACATATATAAAATAACACTTGAAAACACAACACACGTAGCTGCAATATCCGTAGCATTTGGCACAGTCGGTTCCCACGCTCTATCATTTTGTGTGGTCATCATAGACTAAGATAAGGAGGTACGATTGATTGGACCATAGGCTTTCAAAAGAGTCAAGAAATTGGCATGGATACTTTGAGAAATGAGGTAGCAACAAAAGGAAAGACCGGAAATAATCGAGAAATGTCCACACCTTTGTTTTCGTTAGTTATGGCAAGGCCCCGGAGGAAAAACGGCATTCGTGGGTAGCTTAATCTCTGTACCAATTAGACTATGGGTCCCAAATGAGAATCAATTCAGATCAAAATCAAATTGAGAATCAGATGACTTGCTAATTCTAGTATTGATTTGCCCCTAAATAGATCATTAAAGGGGCGCTGAATATTGGACTTAGTTAATGAGCACCATTTTTAAAACATGTATTCAATGTTTCAAAATAATGAAACTGAAATATTGGGCAAAATAATTGATGTTTCGTTTGTGGAATGAAAACTGATGATAGAGATACTATCATTAGCCAAAAACTATATAAGCAATTTAAATATGGAAATTATGCCAATTAAAAGTATTATATGGAAAGAAATGTTTGTGAAATGGTTAGAAATGAAATAACTTCAGAATTAATGGGATCATTGAGGCACACATTGATAAAAATCACACTTGGATTTGGAAAGATTTAAAGTAAAACAAATGAATTCGTTTCTTACTATCTCCATGACAACATATCTTGCTCTCTCTCTCATGACAACAATTTTTGGCCTCATCAGCACGAGATCTAAAATACAGTAATTATCAAGTTCAAAGTTCAAGAAATGTGAAACTTTATATTTAATAGCACAATTATTTATTTCTACCAATGAAACAATACAGTATTAATAAATGTTTACTTCATTGAATACAGAATTTACCACGGTTAATGCCTATTTATGTTCGGTGGAGCGTAGCGACTTTAGAAAATAAATGCTTTCTATTGGCTGAACGATGAGTTCAGTTCAATGTAGAGTTATGTGAGTGAGTGGATGTTTTCGTGGTGAAGGTAGAGTGTATAGAAAGACATTCTGAGCTTTGTCACCGTGTAGTCAACACATACACTTCGTTTTATTCAATAAATCAACAGATTAGACAACTTTTGTCGAATTTAATTCGAAAGTTCAAGACACATTTGAAGAAACCTCCATTTTACTCGTTACTACATAGTTGAAACAGCTGACTTACAATAGCACAGTCATATGAGGAGAATATTACAGAAGGTAAAACTTTTATATTACGAAAAAATACTGATTGATTAGTTTGAACAGGTACGTTAGATGTCTTTTGGTTATAAACTGTTAATAATATGACTCCAATCACCTCAGATAGTACAATCAACATCTATATATAAAAAAAGCGTAAAAGAAGCTTCAAATAAAATAACAAAATTGGTAACAAAGGCTTTCTCGAGGTCCTTTACGTTTCAGAAAGTTCTGGATGTCCTACAGTATGTACCACTAGCCTCAAGAGGTCGCAACTTGTTTTACGACAACATAGTATCGGGCAGTGCCGGGGTGAGCATGATTACCAATGATGACCGATGTCTGGTTTCAATGCGGCGAAGCTGGGCCATATCAAGGTCATTTTGGGAGCAATGAGCTCAACGACTACTGCAATCACGAATAAGTTAAGTAGCCAATTAAATTATTATGTTTTCTTATGTTATTGTTTGAAATGCTAGATATCTCTTCAGGGATTTACATTACTGACAGTAGTTCGGTGCTTACAAGATTTGTTTAGAGGTCTTCTTCGTAGATTTCAATATATGTACGTACAAGTACTTGTACCAACATGTTATAGTGTTTACTCAATTGGGAGGCCTTTACAAGTTCTTTTCGTATTTTATGTTCTTTTCCTCGGTATTAGAACTGAGAGATTGATACTCAAAAGTTGATAGGTTTGTTTCACAATAGCTATTTTAGATGAACCGATTCTTTTAAAAAATAAAGGGTATATAAAGCAGGCAGTAAAAAGAAATAATTTGTAGAAAGATCAAATTTAGTGGTCAATGTTCAGAATTTCAACTTGATAACAAGTAATGACATATTAGATTTTCAAATAAATACAGGTTTCAGAAAAGATCAAACACGTTTAAACGTATAGGAGTTAGTTAAAAACGTTAATCAAAGACTCGACTGTTTTACTAACTCGTAAACACAGAGGCTTGATTGGGAAAACGCTTTTTGGCTAGATAATCAGTTATTTAATGACTTTACAAGATGGTGAGGATGATGTTTGATAGTGCTTGCACAGGCGTTATTTTCAATGGCGAGTTTTCTCACAGTAATTGTTCAGAAAAAGAAAGCAAAATATTTCAATGTAGAAAGAGTTACACGTATAAAGTAGTTTTATAAGCTTACTTGAAATATCTTCAAAACTAGAATTGTGGTTGACAGATTATCAAAACTTAATACGAAGGCATTTGGATGTGCCCATTTTTAAAAATGTTATAGGTTAATATAGAGTTGAAATTAGAGTTTATTCCAGGGTAGACAATCGTAAAGCATTTTTGTAGATCTAGATGACAGGACAGTGAAGCTTGATTTCGAACTACTACTTTCATCAAGAAGGTTGTTCATTAATTTTAAAACGTAATGCAATGAGAACTTTAGCGTTGCAAAAGCTTAACATTTTGACTTTAGGCTTTTAAAATCATAAAAAGAGGCGTTTTCAAACAATCCTTTTGTGGAACAAGACCCGGGTAAAGTCAGAGTAGTTAGTTTAATTCACACGTTTTGGTGGTAAAAGTTAACATGTATTTGCTTTAAGATTTAAGATTCATTTTAAAGTTACAGTATAATCAGGCACAGGCTAAATAGTTAAAGCAATGGTTTATTTGACATAGATATTAGTTTGTTGATACAGCACATTGAAAATAATGTGCACGCTTATATTAGCAAATGCATGTATTGCGCATTTAGCACAATTGCTATACAGACAAGCACACTGGGTTGTGTAAGAACATTCATTAACATGTTATACAGCTTAGCATATTCGAATGGACAGGTAATGACGTGCAAGAAAGCACGCCATGATATGCAGGTAAGCACATCACTAGGTGCAGGTAAGCATATCAAGATACTTTGCTGTGGAGGTAAACAGTGATATTCAGGTAAGAATAACGTGGTGTACAAGATAACACATTGTGATCTACATGTAAGCACTGTAATGCTCATACAATCAAATTGCGATGAAGAGGTACTCTCACTGGGATGTGCATGAAAGCACATTGTAATATATAGGCTAGCACTATGTGATTTGCAGATCGAACACACTGATTTACAGGTGACCACACTGTGATGCATGCATAGGTAAGCATATTATTGTGACATGCAACGTGATGTGAATGTTAGCACACCGAAATATAAAGGCAGGCATACCATTACGTGCAGGTTAGCACACTGATAGTTGAACGTAAGCAGACCATTATATGCAGGTAAACACACTGTGATGTACAGATATATTAAAACGGGACGTGTATGTATGCATAACATGGCGCGTACAGGTAAGCCACCGTGATATGTACGTAAACACACTGTGATATGAAGGTTAACCAACTGAGATATGTAAGTAAGCACAAAGTTATGTGATTGGTAGCACATTTTATTGTGTAGGTTAGCACGCCGTGACATGCAGGTTAGCACACCGTGATGTGCAGGGTAGCACACTGTGATGTGCAGGTTAGTACAGTGTGATATGTATATAAGCACGCTGTGACGTGAAGGCTAGCACACCGTGATGTGCAGGGTAGCACACTGTTATGTGCAGGTTAGCACAACGTTATGTGCAGGGTAACACAGTGTGATGTGTATATTAGCACGCCGCGACGTGCAGGCTAGCACACCGTGATGTGCAGGGTAACACACTGTGATGTGCAGGTAAGCACACTGTAATGTGCAGAGTAGCACACAGCGATGTGCAGCGTAGCATACCGTGATATGCAGGGTAACACAACGTGATGTACAGGGTAGCATACTTTGATGAGCAGGTAAGCACGTCATGATCTGCAGGGTATCAGTGATGTGCAGGTAAGCACAGCGAGATGTGCAGGTAAGCACACTGTAATGTGTAGGTAAGCACACTGTAATGTGTAGGTAAGCACACTGTAATGTGTAGGTAAGCACACTGTAATGTGTAGGTAAGCACATTGTAATGTGTAGGTAAGCACCCTGTGATGTACAGGTAAGCATATCGTGATGTGCAGGTAAGCACACTGTAATGTGTAGGTAAGCACACTGTAATGTGTAGGTAAGCACATTGTAATGTGTAGGTAAGCACACTGTAATATGTAGGTAAGCACCCTGTGATGTACAGGTAAGCACATCGTGATGTGCAGGTAAGTAAATAGTGGTGTGTAGGTAAGCACACTGTAATGTGTAGGCAAGCACATTGTAATGTGTAGGTTAAAGCACACTGTTATGTGTAGGTAAGCACCCTGTGATGTGCAGGTAAGCACATCGTGATGTGCAGGTAAGTACACAGTGATGTGTAGGTAAGCACATCTTGATGTGTAGATATGCACACCATTGTTGCAGTTAATCACAATATGATGTGAAGGTAAGCACACTGTGGTTTGAAGGTTAGCAAACTGTAATGCGCGGGCAAGAAAACTGGAAAATCCTTGAAACATACGGGATATACAGATGTAATGTGATGTGTATGTAAACACATTGAAATGTATAGGCAAAAACATTGGGATGTTCAGGTAAACATTGAGATGTTTAGGTAAACTCGCAGAGATATTCAGATAAACATATTGAGAAATGCACGTGAACACACCAGGTTATATATGATAGTGCACAAAATGAGAATTGCTAACGACATTTCTATATATGCGAGATTACGATGTATATGCTGACACAAGTTTATAGTTTAGACGTGTGTAATGTACCACTGCATAAGAATTACAATTCACAGGTAAACATGTCATGATAGGCAATATACAACCTGATGATTTCTATATGTTTTTCATTGGTCAATTACTTTTCAGGTATTTTGATCTGGATGGTGTCCATTTATATTGAACAATTTTCTTTAGATATTGCTGAATTGCAGTTGAGCTGTTGGAAAATCAGTGAATCGTTCACGAATAGATTTATTGTTAAAGATATTGTTGTAATTATACATTTAAAATTTGTTAATGGATATATTTCCAGGCTGGTAGAGCAGTAATTAAAGTAAAGTGATGTTTATATGCCGAACTAAGGGATTTTGGCACAGATGTTGCAAGCATCGTTGTGCTAAAGGGCTGATCAACACAACTGAAAGAATGTACAATTGCCTTGTGACAAATATGTTGTCAAATCTGACATAGGATGGATATACGTCATATGGACTTCATAACATTTGTGATTCAACATCAGTCAAATATATCAGCGATGGGACATTTGAACTGATATTCAAACAATCGCAGACGGAGCCAGTTACAGCATTGTTTGTTATGATTCTTCCTAACACGAAGCGATCATTGAACTTTATACCTCTTGGAGACACTGCAATGTGTAACTTAGGGTTTGCTGCTTTTTGCTTTACATTGAGATGACATTATATTTTAGCATTGGTTCAGTGTAAAATAATTCAAATACTGACCGACATTTAAAGACAGGATTGTTGAATAAGTATTTCTGCCGAAGACTGATACTTTTATCTATAAAGTGTTGGTATCTAGAATCTGTGGATTCAAATTGACATAATCAATTTATTGTTCTATATCTTTCCCGTTCTTTAGATTTTCTGTGTGCCAAGTGCTCTCATTCCTTGAAACTGAAAGTTGGTGTTATGTTGAATGACGGGTAGTGATGAGAGAATAGAATGCCTATTTATGTTCGGTGGAGCGTAGCGACTTTAGAACATAAATGCTTTCTATTGGCTGAACGATGAGTTCAGTTCAATGTAGAGTTATGTGAGTGAGTGGATGTTTTCGTGGTGAAGGTAGAGTGTATAGAAAGACATTCTGAGCTTTGTCACCGTGTAGTCAACACATACACTTCGTTTTAATATTCACATTATAGTGTTGTATTCGTAAATTTCAAACATTATGTATTAACTCTTGTAAGAGTATTGTTCAGTAATAATATACATGTAGATAGTGGTTTTGATTGACATACCTTTTCATCTCCAAAGAAACCTCAGTTTAGATGAAGATGGTTTTTTAAAGCTTTTAAGGAGTCCTCGGTCTCTCATAATAAGAGTAGAGGTTTTAATGGTGCCAATCAGATTCACTTTATACGTATTAATAGTTCTAGGATTCACTGAGATATCATTAATTTGATCTGTATACATACATTTTACGCACAATGAGTCCTCGATAATCGAACAAACATTTGTGTCAACCCCGTCTTGCGGGATAACGCTACTAATAAACACGGGTGCCAAGTGCTCTCATTCCTTGAAACTGAAAGTTGGTGTTATGTTGAATGACGGGTAGTGATGAGAGAATAGAAATATATTTTATGAAGTACAGGGTTTACCATATTCAAACATAAATAACAGAATTATGACTTTATCCTCTATGAAATACAGAAATTGATGGTTAACTGGAATTCAGTTTGTTGAGACGACCCCTCAGTCCGAAACGCCTAGCATCAGTTTAAAAAATTGTGGCCACAACTGAGATGTAAAGATGTTCAAAGATTTTAAATGAAGCTTTATCTGAAAATATGTTTTGCGCGATAAATTTTTAATTGAAAATTAAAGTCAAAATATTGTTGAAGTAAATAAAATGAATTTTTAATTTTCAAGACTTGTCTGTTCTATGAAAAAATCATGTATAATTTGAACCAAGGTGTATGATAAAGTAATATATAAACTATATATTTTATATGCTGGTACAGTAGAATTTCTCTTGGCTTTTCAACATAGCACCATATTTGACTTTTCAGGCTCCACTTTTATTATTCTATGCCTATATAATGTTACTGTGCACTGTCATAAATGTACATAATCGTGTGTCTACATGACGTTTTGAAAGAGTATAGAGCTAGATTCAAAGCACCGTTCTTGCGAGTTTCACCTTTACACATTGCTACGGGACACGTTTCACAGAGATATAAAGTCTAAAAATGTGTTAAAAGTGTACTTTTAAACCTGAAGTGCCGACAGAAATGCAACATACGCCCACATACGAAAACTAAAGTCAAGTGACAGACTGCATACAAGGGTCGATCAAAAAGTTTCTTACCATTGGCTCTAGATGTTACAATAAGATGAGTTGGATGCTCAAACTTTAACATGAGACAAGGTAGTTAGTTTGCTTGAAACTATATGAGTTTTATACAAATCGGTTTATTGGTAGTGAGACAGAGTCAATATATGTTTTCAATGATTGAATTAGGTTGAGCATACCTTTACATTCTTAAAAGAGAGTTTCGTCTTCAGTTTTTAACTAGACTCTGTGCGCAGGGTAGGTTGAGCAGCGTTATTCTAAAAGAAATCTGCTAGGCTGCGATTCTGGCAATTTCTAGTGTCTGTCATCTGTCAACACAGACTGTAGTTTAATCATATTCATTCTCCTTCAAAATGTACATGTCCCCCCAGCTGCAATCCACTTCTTACATATGCCCACCAAATTAAAAAGCACATGTTTAAGGCATCCTTGTGAGAGGTTGTAAACTCTGTCTCGTGTTAAAGTTTGAGCATCCAACTCCTCTTATTATGAAATCTATAGCCAACGGTAAGAAACTTTTTTATCGACCCTTGAAGGGTGATTCATGTGTACAAACAATATCACCATATTTCAACACGCAGGTCCAAGTGTGCACGTTAAAAATTGTGATTTGAATTTTAGACCTACCAAATATTTGAAAATCAAGGATTGTGAGTCTCATACTGAACTGAACTGTTTTTCTTCAACCTTTTTTCATGTTTTGCTTTGTATGGTACAAGTTTGAAGAAAAATGGTTCAGTATGAGACTCACACAATCCTTACTTTTCAAACATCAAGTATAGCAGGTCTAAAATTCAAATTAATGGTTTTTAACATACATAGTTGGACCCAGTATGTGTTCAAAGAGATCATTAGGCGCTGATTCAAAACCCGGGATTTATTAATTTAGGTAAACCTGGCGTATCCGCCGGTATATAAAGATCAGACCTCATAAACACGCAACAAGCAACACACAACATCACGAAAGCAAGAGCTCATTGGCATTTATAAGGAACGAAATGAATTTTCAGTTCAAGTTGAGATTATTTTTCACTTTTTCAATATTAAATGTAACCGTCGGGTACAAGTTTTTTCAAGATAAAATACCAAATGGGAACAATATTCCCCACCCATGTAAGCCTAACTACATGTGGCAGGGGGTAGGACATAAAAATGCAATGGGTGGTGGAAACAGAAACGCGTTTGGATTGGCATTTGACGCAAATGGAAAGGTAATTTCATTAGTTATTCTTAAAATATTTTGCCGACATTCTTTAAACTATTTCGTCTTGTGTTATGTGTCCTTAGAGTAGGACCTTATTATAATGTCGTATTATCACTGTACCCCAACTAGTTTATTGGATAACTTCCTGAATTCGAGTTCTGCAAGATTTTTTGTTTTCCCGATTTAAAACTTCTAAATACTGTAAGTTAAACTGCAGATTATATGTTGGCAAAGTTATAGAGAATATCTAATCTAATTTATGAATATACACGCCCTTTGAGAGACATCGTTGTATTAACAAACTGGAAAATACAACACAGTTGATTGATTTGTTGGGAAGTCCGCATTTATATCAGCCCCAGAAAATCAAAAAAATGTTTTGTCGAAAGTTCAATTTTTAATTCTGTTTTTAAGAAAAAATTGGTATGTTAAAAATAAACTTAGTCAATTAGTCAAAACTTGGTCAATTATCGTTAAGATGCCCATGTGTAAATTGAAAAATATATTCATTTGTTTTTGTTGTTCTTTTTAGTTTCTTAATTGAGTTCGTGTATATACAGTATTTTTGTATATTTTTATTCGTTACTTCAAAGAAAAAGTATTCGTATATTGTACCATATTTCTAACAAATATTGAAGCAGGTCTGACGATTTACATTGTTAAAGCCTTTCATGTACGGTGTACTCGGATAATCTTCTGCCCCCCCCCCCCCCCCCCAAGATATATTCTTGTCTCATGATGATAAATCAGAAGCTCTCAAAGGAGTAGATAAAAAGAGGCTCTTGCGTGGTATTCCTAGCCACTCCCCGTCTCTCATTGCACATTTACTTCCACAATACAAACAAAAAAATATTTTGCATATCCTCAGTTCTAGTTTTTGAACTATTTAGTGTTAAATTATTTGCTTGTCCTAGATTTTGAACTGTATGGTAATTTAGGTTTGAATTGACCAAAGGTGAACATTTGGGACGGCAACAACTGTGTTTAAAAATCATCGATATTTCATTGTATTTCGCTGCATTGAAATGGTTAGAAAGGGTGAATATATAGGTTGATGATATGGATATTTTTAGGTGTGAGCTGTTTAAAGATACAAACAATGTTTTTATGGGGTTAAGGCAGGTTATAAAATCTTTATATTGGCAAAAGATTGATCCGTACTTAGCATATAGGATACACGATACGAAAAGTTTATCAATTAAAATATTAGGACATAACATCCAAAAAATAAAAAAATGTTTTAAGAACAATAACAAAAGGTCGTTGAAATAATTTTCATTTTCTTAATTAGCTTTGATTGATCCGAGTGTAGAAAAAATCTGCCTTTCAGATTTAGAGTTTTAATCCATTATTCTCATGACCAACGTAGAGAATCTAATTGTGTTCTACACCCTATGCAGACAGAGGCTGTGGGCTGTGCTGCAAAAAGTGAGCGTTTGGTGCGGAGTCAACGGTCAATTTTGAATTTAAAGGGATATTTTTGAAACTAATTGCGTTTTGGGACTTCAGATACACTCATATATGAGTAGTTGACACCCCGTATCAATAGAATTGTGAAACTAGTAACTGATTCATTCTATAGCGACGCAGTATGCATTAATTGTCCCACAGGCTCCGTCTACATAGGATTAGAGTGCTCTAGGTTTTAGTAAAAGTCGAAATGAGTCACAATCTTTCTTGATCATGAAACATTATTAGACTCCAGATTGAAAATCTGGAGTCTATTGTTTTTGCCTGTTTTCTTTATTATTATTTTTCTTTCTTTTTTCTTCCTCCTCACCAAATTTCTCGTCAACTATAACAGCTTACTTAATCCAACTTACATGGTTAACTAAAGACTGAAACCGGCTTTCTGGGAAATTAGGTCAAGTTTTTATCTAGGTCAAAGGTCAAGAACTAGGTCAAATCTTACATTTTCAACATTCTTCATCATATCTTCGTCAATATTCTTCGTAACTCCTTCATCTTTTTTTCATCGTGTAGCTTAGAAAAAGGCGAATCAAAGATATGACATCAGAATTTTGATTACTCTTACCGATTTTGAGATATGGCGTCCGAAATGTAGGTCACGCCTAAACATGCTCTAAATCGAATGTATGAACTATGAAAAAGATGTAGAATTTTCCCAGGAATCCAAATCTGCAAACCAAATTTGGATCGGACTTCCGGTTCGGAAGTTATGGCGTTTTGAAAGCTCAAAAATCGCTAAATTTGGTGCCTATGTTAAGTCAATGGGAAAAAAGACTTTTTCGAAGTGTAAAATACAGGATATAGACTGAGTACAGCTTAACATAATGAATGCTTATAAAAGAAGGGGACCTCAAAAGCTACATAGCTTCAAAGTTTGGACACCAAAATGCCTAGGTCAAAATCTAGGTCAAATTCATAGTTTTTCCTTATTTTTACGATTCTGACACTACACTTTAATAATTTACTTCAAAATTTTGTATAAAGGTAGGAAAGATTGTGCTAATAGTGTTAGCCTTTTGCCGTCAGAAAGTATTTTGACCCACTTTTGAGATATGGTGTCCGAAAAGTAGGTCAAAATAAAAAATTCTCCAGATTCAACGTATGAGTTATCAATTAAGAGTAAAATTTTCTCAGGAATCCGAAACTGCAAATCAAATTTCGATCCGACTTCCGGTTCGGAAGTTATGGCGTGTCCAAAAAGTAGGTCAAAATAAAAAATTTCCAAATTTAACGTATGAGTTATGAATTAGGGGTAGAATTTTGTCAGGAATCCGAATCTGCAAACCAAATTTCAATCCGACTTCCGGTTCGAAAGTTATGGCGTTTTGAAAGCTCAAAAATCGCTAAATTTGGTGCCCCATGTTATGTCAATGAGAAAAAGGATTTTTTGAAGTGTAAAATACCAGATATAGACTGAGTACAGCTTAATATTCTGAAAGCCTATAAAAGGAGGGGACCTCGAAGGCTATCTAGCCTTAAAATTTGGACGCAAAAATGCCTTGGTCAAAATCTAGGTCAAATTCATAGTTTTTCCTTATTTATGCGATTCTGACATTACACTTTAAGGATTTGCTTCAAAATTCTGTATACAGGTAGCAAAGAGTGTGCTTATAGTGTTAGCCTTCTGCCGTCACAAAGTTTTATGACCCACTTTTGAGATATGATGTCCGAAATGTAGGTCAAAATAAAAAATTCTCCAAATTTAACGTATGAGTTATGAATTAAGGGTAGAAATTTCTCAGGAATCAGAATCTTTAAACCAAATTTCGATCTAACTTCTGGTTAGATAGTTATAGCGGTTTGAAGTCTCGAAAAGTTGATATGATGATATCCCCATGTTAAGCTAATTGAGTCGAAGATAGCCTTCTTAAAAGTTGTCTAAATGTCTATATTCTAGCTGACTCAGCTTATTCTGAATGACTCAGCTTACAAGTTCTGGATGACTCAGCTTAAAAAAAGTTTGAAATCTGGAGTCTTAAATTGAACTTGTTCAATTTACATGTCTAGTTATCATTATGTTATGGATACTTTCATTTTGATTATAAGCACTTTATTGTACAGTAATAAGTTAAAGGCCCGGTGTAAAATTTGAAATATACTTTAATCATTCAAATATTAATTTTATCATGACTTGAAAAACTATTTGAGACACTTCTTGAAAGAGTTGTTCATCTTAGAATTTTGATATTTGAATTTCCCGCCATTTTACACAGTTTTTAGATCAAATAATTGAGGGTTAAACTTTTTAATTTTTTATTGAAAACTTGTCTGATCTGAACTGAGGAGAGAGGCAGTCACACAACTGATCATAGAGAGTGACACAAATATATATTGAACCCATATTCAATCCCTCCCAGGAAATAACCTATATATAATGCTGTTTGTGTAGCTATGTGGTTACATTTAGGTATGGAATTCTACGTTGTGCAACGCTGATTCGGACAATGACGGGAAAACAAATGGTGTTGAACTCGGAGATCCTAATTGTGTATGGACCGAAGGAGCTGTTCCTGAAATTACAAGCGGACTGTCGCATCCAGGTACAAATAGTAGAATCGGAGATTAAAGGCCCACTTTGCGAATTTTCAATGTTTTTCGGCAAAATAAAGACTTTTATTTAAATTCTATAGTATGTCCAATGTATTGATAAGAACCCTATCATTCATTTGACATTAACAAAAGTTCAAACGGACCACATCAAAGCTTACAATAATTCCATTGAAAAATGGCGAAGTGGCATTGTTTATATTAATGATACATTCATTTTTATAGAAGTGTCGCCATCTTTTAAATCAAAAGTAATTAAAAACATACACTTTGTTTAGCATGTGCATGCATGTCTAATGAATTCTGAAGTTCAAATGTTTTTTTTCTATGTGAATTATTTTTTTCTTGGTTCAATATTAAAGCAAATCAAACTTTGTGTAATATTTGAGCGAGTGTGTGAGTAATATGTTTCAATGATCATTTTTTCTTTTTTCTTCTAAATTAAGTATAGTAGGGCTTTCAATTCAATCACTTGATGCCATGGATATGTTTAAGTTGGGATAAATATATGGACTTCATCACTTTTTACATCGTAGAACATTTGAACTGTAATTGTGAACTCCCTAAATCACAGATTGAGCAATTGTTATATTCTGTTCTATAGGTGTGTGCGAGCCATGGGACTCGGAGAAATGTTTAGCACAAAATCAGTGGGAATTCTGTGACAGGGAAGTCTTCTCTTGTCCAGCCATGGATGCAACGGGTATTGTATATTATTGTACATAAAATGCTCGGCATTTGATTAATACATACGGAATCAGCTTCTAAGCATAACAAAACAGAAATTTTAAGGTATTTAAATGCCAATACTGTGACTTGGGTCATATATTGATACGACGTCAGATACTGTACATCACGGCGTAACATTGTAATTGTCCATTTTACCGACAAAATGCAAAGATTTACGCGATAAATATGCGCAATGCTCCTCCAAGTAATTGCAGAAGTTTTAATATTCGTGGAATCTTCTTAAAAACTTCAAGTTTTGTTCAGATTAATGTGTGCTTCAATACAATTCTATATTCAAAAAGGTTGTATCACGATATACAGAATTAGAATCACCAGAAAGTAGACATTTCAAACCCTACCCGTTTTCTTCTTTGTCGCGCTTTTCGGCCCCGCGCTCTCGTTGTCGCACCGTCTTTCTAGACACTTTCAAAGTGCCCCTTGTCATATTCAACAGATATACACAGACGGGAAGATATTAAGGATTGTTAAATGCATTATTTGTAATTGATTTTAACTCGAATATTTAGTTTTATTTATTTGAAGCAATGAATAATAAAGGAGAACATATAATACGCTAACGGCATAACGTCTTATTTTGTAAAGGCTTCACTTGGGGTTGCGGTGATAAAATGATGTCTATCTCAATATATACTGGATCAAATTAAATGAAATTAATTGTATGTAGTAAGGGGTATATTTAAAAGAACATGCTGAAACATTGAAAAGTTTTGAATGTTTATCCCTTAATTAGAAATATTTGAACTCAAAAAATGAAACGTAATTTTGTGAATTTTTCACATGGCTTCACTTCATATTTCTTTCAATTTATGCTTCTTACAGACTGAATTTCAATCGAAATGATATAGTTTTTTGATAAAAATATAGAATATGATATGCCTTTCAGGGATCAAAAAATAATAATTCACCTTTCAAACGATTTAATGTTTAATTGATCAAAATATATATCTTGTTGGTACGAAATTCTGCCTGTCCACACTTTTTTGCATAAATATAAGCGTTAAGTTAGCATTGTTATATTATGACGTCATCAACCAGAATCTGTTTGTCTTTTTCAAAATGGTGAATTTAAATATTGTGAAAGTTTGAGAAAGATCCGTTAAGAAATGAAAAAGTTATCTTCATTTTTCGTTTAAAATTGAAATCATTTTTCTTCAAAATGTTACAGTCCACACCCGGTTTTAGCACATAAAGTCGCATAATACGGCTTGCGTGATTCGCATTTAAAAAGTCACAAATCAGTTATTTGGAATTCTGATAGGCAAAATATTTCATGGACATACGTGTTCAACTGATGACGAAAAATTGTAGAAAAATATGATTTTGCTGTCGAGATATTGCGGTTTTAAAAGTAAGAACGCATGTAAAAATGCAGTAAAATGCCGCGATGTACAGTATCTGACGTCGTATCATTATGACAGGGAAACACAATTGCTTGTAACAAAAATGGAAATAGACAATACAAAGTATAATTTCAAGGTATAGACTGAAAAGCAAAGCGTAAAAGACAAATGAAATATTTAATTTTTTAGATTTTGTTGTGATATATGACATTTCAAATTACGTTTTGATCAATTCAAATCAGTGCATTTTTCTTGATTCTCAAGATGACGTTCGAAATGTCAGTGTTCGTTTCCCGCCAACGCAGGTGCCTCCTACAGAGACGAATTATTATTGCATGGCGGTGGAGCTGCCGGGGGATGGCGACTATCACCTTATTGCAACAAGTCCAATAATCGACAATGCTTACGTTATGCATCACATTATCATGTTTGGATGTAAAGACGGTACAAATATTTTACATCAAATTATTTCCTATCTGATATTTAATCTGTTGAACTGTATCTTCGTTATCATTTGAACATCAAACAAATATTATTCAATTTAAGTTCATTTATACCGACGTTATAATACATTTCATATTTTTCAAATAATACACAGAGGATCTTAGGGGTGGTGAGTCTGACATTCGCACTAAATTTGCAACTCCGAGATTATGTGGAATGGACACGGGTTGTAAAAATATAATTACTACCTGGACTCTTGGCTCGCCAGGACAGTGTTACTCGGAACGTGCAGCTTTCAGAATTGGAAAACATGGATACAAATATGCGGTCATGCAGGTATTAAACATATTGGGCAATGTATTTTATACAACCTTGTGCCTATATTTGGAATATTATTATGGTTTGTCTAGTCATGCGTTCGCCAACAAATTCCCTTTTCCTAGCAGAATTCTATTCTTTACTCCTACTCGCAAATTATCCGAGGTTTAACCTAGTCTTTAAGGAATTTTAATTCCAATTATGTCCACTCTAACTGTAAAGTGCGAACCGCGCCCATTCATGGACTGAATAGCTACGATATGCTTCATTCAGCTCGTCAAGAGAAATGACAACATTGACCAATAGACTAATACGTGATAGACGAAAACATGGTCATTAACATAAATATTTCCCCCAATGCATCGCTTCAAGTGGGACGTTTTCCATTGGCTCGTTGATTAAACCTAATTCTCCCAACCTCAAAGACATGTTTTGCGTATTGTCAGGACGATCAATTCTATTCTAATATCAAGCCAACGTTAAGTACACGAGAACTTGCTTCTTGTTTCATATCGAACCAATGTATCTCGGCTTCCGGTAACGAAGTCGGTGACGTCACGATAAAACACTTCATGGTTGTCGTCAGTTTCGAAAAATATTTGTGAAAACGCTATGCAGTTTGTCATATATAGGACATATATTTTTATCGATTGTTATACGTGAAGGAGAATGTCAAATATAGCTGAAATGGTGTGTTCAAAATTGTTTACTAGTAGCCTAGATGTAAAAAATAAAAATATAAATTTACTTGAAGAACCTAACCCGCGCTACCATGAACATTCCGCGTAACAGTATATTCCATTTAATGGATGATGGATCGATAAATCGTTGAAAAACTTAAACGTTTTATTCCAGATGCATTGGAATAACCCTGAATTGCGTTCTGATTACACAGACAGTTCTGGTTTAACATTGTTCTACACACCAAACTTGAGGCCCAATGACGCTGGGTATTTTATAGTTGGCCAGCGTTACCTTGATATCAAAGCAGGACAAGAAAGTCACTTGGAAACTGCAATGGCTTCGTCCAGTTGTACTCGGAAAATGCTTCCTAACCCTATTCACATACTCAATGTTGGTCTACACATGCACTATTTAGGTAGGTTCCATGGATTTGTAACGTGGTTTGTTCTGTTCGTTCCTAATCTACAGTATGTGTCGAAAAATTTTCTATTTTATGACGAGCAAGCCCTTGAAATAATTAAATCGCTAATTTTTGAAACTTTCAGAACATAGGGGACATATATCTGACCATAAAAATTCCTGATAATCAACAAAGTTTTGACGAAGTAATGGTTACTATGGTAATCATTGCCATGGGTATAAGGGGCAAAGTTCCGACGTCATTTTTGGACAACATTTTTAGTTTTAAAAGCAGTCTCACATATTACTGTTTAACTCTTGGGATATGCAGTACAGTTACAAATAATCTATTTCAAGTCACTTCCTGATCCATCTTCACTTCACAGGTCCGTATCAACGGTGGGGGTTGAATCAAAATTGTGCAGTTATTCACCATTGTGACTCCTCAGCACTTGAGTGATCTTGGGCCAAAGTTGTGAATTGTGAACCTCTCTGAGTTTTTTGAAAATTGACGCCCTTGGTAAAATCTGGCTACAACGGACCTGGTTTCATGAGGTGCTCAAAGGCACCCTTAGCATTAATTCACAGTTGCCTGAAAACCCACTTGTGGTACACATTTTTGAAGCCATCATTGAAGCGTATTACTGGGGAGGTGTTCACTGCAGACATCAGCTGATTGAGATTCTGGCGGGATATTCCTTTCAGATGCACTATTCATATTGTGATCTCATAGCTCTCTGTTAGTAAATACATAATAAAAACTGACAATATCACAATTTGACCATATCAACAATTTTATTTATCAAAAAAAGTGTTTATTTGATGTATATCATTAACAATATTCCATCATGTAAACCTAAAGGTTACCCCGCGTCCCCATGACAGTGGTTACCATAGAAACCAAAACTATATTGTCAGTACTTAGATGGTTGTCAGGACATTTTGAGAGAATAAGGTCGGATACTAAATGTATGTTCCTTATGTTGTAAAAGTTTCATGAATAAATGAATAAAAAAGCAAAAGAAATAAGCGTCTCAAATCAAAAACTGATTGAACAGTTTTTTATCTTAATCAGCTCTGAGTTAAAGAAAAAATAAACTCTCCGAAATTCTTGATAATATTAAGCTTAAATAAAATGTCGTGGTCATACTCCGGTGCTTTACGAGAGACGTTGTCATCCCATATTAAAGAATTTAATTAAGAATATTCTCTTAAGATTCGTGCGTTTGTATATTTCTTCCATCAGGAAAATCAGGCTACACAGACCTCCGTCGTAATGGAAACAAGCTGAAAACGTTGGGTCGAGATGACGTATTCAGTTACGACTCCCCAGTTGAACACGTGTAAGTGTCTCAATAGGTTTTTTGAGTCCTATACATTTTGACTTCAAGAACACCTATTTTTAATTAAATTCAGTTTAAAACAGACAGTCAACAATCCGAAAACGCTTTCGGTGGTGCAGAAATACAAAGATCAACAACATAAAAATATCACTTTTTGTGCTGCTCTCTATATTACCGACGGAAAATTTTGTATACAATAATCAGTAATTATTTTTTAGTTAATCTTGTATCTATTTTTACATTTGCCATCTGCAATGCTAATTTGATGACCAGCAGTACAATTGCCAAACATTGCAAACAGGAACAGAAGGCTATTTTTGAAAATCCTGATTTCTCACCGTGTTACAACAACTGTGACATTGCTCATTGCTTGACTATTAAATAATAATTCAAATGAGTATCTTTTCCAGACATGATCCACCGATAGAGTTCCTACCCGGTGATGAGGTATTCGTTAGCTGCACCTTCGATTCACGCTCAAGAACAGAAACCACTTACTACGGCGATGATACATCAGCTGAAATGTGTTTCGGATTTTTCCAGTACTACCCAGTTATTGGTAACTTGACAGCTATGGTGAGGTACAAAGACTTCGAACTTTGTTCGGGTTCCAAAGGGGGAGATTGGGATCTCAATGCTGGAGGATGTAGTTTGACGAAAGCTTTTATTCAATCCTTTTCAATGAAAGTCTTGGCAAAATGTTCGATGACCGGTGATGTCTGTAAACCAGAATGCAAGGAGATGGTCAAGGAAACCAGATTGAATGACGAGTGTATGGGGAACGAAGACGTTTTTGGGATGGTGAAGGTTTTAACAGAGAGAGAACCTCGACTTCAGAACATTTGGAGAGCATTTGAGTCTTGTGACGATGAGATTAAGATGGATGATGTGACTGGGTCAGCTTCTGTGATTCACGCATCAATGACATTCGCTATGGTTGTGTTTTTTGCCTTGATAGTTTAAAAGCATCCATGCTTGTCAATCTCAAAATGACGGTTTCACGTGGTAATACGTAAAATAACGTTCAGGGTCAATGTGTAGCGGATCTAAAATTTGATGAGGTACATTTGAGGTAAAGGCGAATACACTGTCATACTACTTCATTTTCAAAGTTTCAATCGAAAAACGTCTTAATTAATATTTTTCTGCAACATTTTGGCTCATGAAAGTATCATTTCGGAGGTTCTCAGAGATTATATCGCCTAATTTGAACTTTTAATTGAATTTATCTAAATCACCCCAAGTTTACATAACAAACCTTTTTCTACATAATAGTATATCATGGTACTAAAATTAAACTGGGTGGTATCTATAGACACTCCCGAAGCGATAAACGATAATAGGTTGGACGCAAAGGAGTCTATGGACACCCGATATTCATTGCACAAACATATAGGTAGCAATTATTATTATAATGGGACTATAGAATTATACAATTTTATATACAAGGTAGAGAGACCTCAGGGGCGGATCTGGGAACCAATAAGGGGGGGCCCAAATTTCAGGTGAGAGAAAAAACTTTCGGGCCCCTAAAACCCAAAAGTGGGCCCAGATTTTGAAATGTTGAGGCCCGTTTTCTTCAAAATTTGGCCTGAAATTAAAAAATAAGGCCTTAAAATCACCAAAAAGGCCCACTTTTGGGGGCCTTTTTTTGCCCAAAATTATTTTTGGTCCCAATTTTTTTTCTGGCCCCCAAGGGGGACAGCCCCCACCCCCCAGATCCGCCAATGGACTGAAGTCTATAGACACCCCAAGTTTACATTTAACGTTTTTATCACTTTTGTACATATACCATTGTACTAAAATAAAACTGGGTGGTGTCCATAGACACTCCTGAAACGAATACATGATACTGCATGTAGGTTGGACGCAAAGGAGTCTATGGACAGTCCCGATACTTATTGCACAAACATAGTAGCAATTGCACAGGCCCATAGCGTTTCGATGGGTTCGAGCAAAATCCCCCACTCCCCCCCAAAAAACTTTTTTCAAAATCATGCAGTTTTTCATCATTCTGAGCACTTTTTAAGTGATTCTGGCCATTTTTGGACCAAAATTGCCAAAGTAAACCCCCTTGCGAATCCTGGCTACGGGCCTGCTGCGAAACTAAAACATAAATTAAGAATATTTTAGAATTGTTGCTCGCAAAAGTGTCTATGGACACTTACCTCTTAATCAGCTTCCTAGCAGCTATTATATATTAGTAGCAACAAATATTTATCATTCTTTCTTCCTTGCTTTAGGGTCTTGTAACATCCAATGGGGCATATTGTAAACATCTCATAGATTGACACGTAATAACATTTTAAATCGATTGAAATAAATCATTTTCAATTTAGCCCTGCAAAGTTACGTAATAACCCAGATGCGAGTAGAAATAATCTTGATTTACGTCATTAAAAATTAAAAATTCAGTCAAAGTAATATCATTTTTGAAATCTACATGTAAAATTACATCTAGAAATGTGGTTTTAAAAAGTGTTTATCAACTTTGAAAAATTAATTTTCTTTGAAAATGTGACTTCTAGCATAGACCCCATGCTATGAAATCACAAAAAATGAAACATCTTTTCTTTTAGTGGACAGATAATATTTTGCTTTACTGGACATATTTTCATTAGTATAAGTATCAGACACATAAGGGTTATATTAAAATTGAGCCACTTAAATTGATAATATTCAAGTTTAAGGGAACTTTCTTATATACCTGCCATGTTAATTGACCCGAATCAGCCACCTGGTGGTGAAACTGGTAACTACCTACTCGCATTTGGGTAATTGAGACAAACATGCCTTTACTAATTTGAATATCTATCCGTCTTTATAACATTCTCGTCCATTTTATCATATTTTGTTTGATAGTAGCAGTAGGTCCGTTTCTAACAGATATTTATGTTTCAAAAATTCTTTTATGTACATAGCATTATAAAATGCATTTCATATTTTAAAGGATACTATTTTAATTACTACTTAATTTTTGCCTGTAGTTAATTAAAATAGAGTATTATTTTTACAAACATATGCACATGTATTTTAGTATATTTGTGAGATATCATCGATGCAAACAAATGTGCAAGGGAATTGTTATTTACATTGTTAGATGGCGATGTTTCACTAGCCTTTAATAGATAGGACATTATTTGAGCAGACCGTTTAACCATCATGTTTTCTATAATTTAATCAATGTTAATTATTTCATCCCATGTTACTGCTATGTCTGGATAGGCAAATAAAATATCTGTGTCATTTATTATTTCTTGTGTATGTTTATATTTCTGTGTTATCAGCCTTAATTTCGCATGCTCTTCTAGCCATTCGTACATGTCAGTAGTAGTCTAAAGGAGAGAGATAACCGGATTTCCTGGGGGCCCCTGGGGGCAGCTTCGCTAAGCCCCCAGGTACACACAATTCCCGGGGATTTTCAACAGTTATAAGGAATTTTAATAAAATGCTTTCTGTCGATACAACCAGGGATCGAACTCAAGAGGTGGATTAATATTGTCGTTATGGATACTATTAGTTTTGTTATCAAAGCTTGGTTATATAGATTTTAGACTACAAGCTATTCACTGGTTTTGCATTTTGTCAGTCGTTTCTTTAGTAACCCGAATTATCCATATACACTTGCTATATCTATGAAACAAACAAAACACTTATTTTCAATATTCACACAAATAATATATATATATTTATTTATTTACATTATAGTTTATATAATAATTAATAAAATGGTGTAATACATGACAGAATATTTACAATGAGGAAATCTCAGATTCCTTAACCCATGAATCAAACTTTTTGGGCCAATATTGCCAACGCACTAGATGCTCTTTTTGACCTCGTCTGATTCGTGTTTTTAGGATCTTCTCCACCTTCCAAATATCATCTTCATTAGCTTGTACCCTCTGAAGCTCTGATTGGTAAAACGTACCCTTTATATCATCATCTTGAAAATCTTTCAAACGGTATAAAGGCAACCCCTGTCTGATAAAACGTTTGTCTACTTTGAAAACCTCCCCAGTCCAATGCTGGTCATATTCTCTATTAAAAATATGTTTCGACTGGGTAATTCTAACCAGAGCTCCAATAGGAAATTTAAATAACTGTTTAGATTTGGTTTTGACAACAGTTGATGTAGGATAATACATATGCCACCAAATAGCCAATTCGTTATCTTTGGATACATTTTTAGGAGCCATTTTTATTCCCCTATGCCAAGAAGCGTTATAACTTTTAACAAAGTTTTGTAAATTGTCTACAAATCTATAGTTCTGTTTGTATGTGATATATCTCATGAGTTTAGTCTTTTATGTCTTTATAAGTCTCTCTGCATAGTTGGCCTTTGGAGTATTACTCGTAACAAAATGGCGGACTCCCCATCTGCCCAACAATGTTTGTACAGTCCTGGCACGAAATTCTTGGCCAGCGTCGCTCCGTATTACATTTGGTTGGCGTCCCTTCTTGAAGATATCATCAAATGCATCAGCCACAGCTTTTCCAGTTTTATTGTGTAAAGGTCAGATCCAGGCATATCGAGACATGATGTCAATGACAACTAAAATGAAACGTATCCTATCATTATGTGCTGACATATTAGAGACATCCATTAGATCAGCATCCCATTGTTCATCAATATGTGAAACATATACTTTATTTCGAGTAAAACGCTTCTTGTAAGGTCGCTGCAAGCTGTAAGATTCTTGATTATCGAGCCATTTCTTAATTTGATAGCGGGAAAGTTTATATTTTCCATCTTTTAGTACAGTTCTGTATAGTTTATCGGGTCCAGCAAATGCTCCAGAATGTTGACTATCAAAGTATAGTTTCTTCAAATAGTCCTGATATGACATCTTGTATGGTCGCTTTCTGACTTACAAATGGAGATCTCTCATGAATTCATGGATATTTATCACTCATCCTCCGATTCACTAGCCTCGTTCTCATATTCACTAGCCTCATTCTCAGATTCACTTCCCTCATCCCCAGAATCATCCTCACCTGTATCATCTATGAATAGCTCATCAAACTTGTGTTTGTTTTTCAAAAGTATTTTTCTAATAGCGAGATCCCTAGACACGCCTCTGCTCATCATATTATTCACTGCATCCACAATATTTCTATGCAATGCATTATCCGCTACACCAAATAATAGTTCAACCAGCTGTTTATAGTTTTTCATAAATTTCTCCTTAACTTTTGAAAGTAGTTTCTTCTTTGCCTTTTCTATGGCCTCTTGTCTGTTCATTCCTCGATCCAAATACTCTTTCAATTTATCTTGATAGTCCTCTTCAAATGATTCTCTAGCCCACTTCTTGAGGCAAGCAAATGTTTCATTTTCTTTTAAATCATCATCTTCTTCTCTAGGAATATTCTCGTCCATATTCAGGGTGGATTGAGTCCTCATCCTTTTGGATTGTGGTCCTTGGTCTTGACACCAATTTTTTATGTGTCTTTGTAAGTCATGAATGCTATCAAATACTAAACCACAATCATCACAAGATACCATGTTGTCTTGTTGAACTTCAGATTCCAAATAAGGGTGGTTCATGATATCGCTAGTATTTATAGATGTAGTTGGGTGTTTGACTTCTGAAATGTCCTGCATTTCAATTGGACGTTTGGAATCATTCATTGGTTGCTTGAAGTTGTTGGAGTAATGAGAATCTTTCAATTCACCTTTATCATTGGTAAAGACATTTGGTTTCAACCTGTTGTGTTCTGGGGTTTCTTGCTTTAGATCAAGAAGCAGGTAGCCATAGGGTCGGCTTGTGGCGCTGGTATAAGCTCTGACCAACTTGTTTCCATTTCCGGGATACATTTGCCTAGATAAGAATGCCACCTGTTGGCGATCTCTGGGGTTATTAAATAGTATCATATAGTGAGAGTTTAAACTCATTGATCTGTTCATTTTCCCCTGGTGATACATATTCTGGAGGAGGCAAATCACAGACAGATTTCGATGGTGACTTCCTTTGCTATAGAGGTCACATATTCTTTGGTCATTTGTTGCTTCATTCATGAGATCATCAAGTAGTATCAAAGTAGGTGATGAAGTGTCAAGATATCTAGGATCATCGATGTCTTCTGGTATCCCCTTCACAAATTCCAAATTCGGATATTTTCTTAGCTGTTCATAGGCGGGTTGCCATTGACCATAACACCAGATTATTCTTCTTGGAAATGGAGATATAAACCGTTCAGCATTTTGGATCAAGTACTTCATGAGCCAAGTCTTCCCCGAGGATGTTGGTCCAGCTGGAAATACAAAATTTATATATTTAATAAATTGTCACAATTATTTAAGATTTTTTTTACATCTATTAGAATTTACTGTATTTATCGTGCCTACCTGCTATCATAGTAAATGGATGTTTCAGCATAATATCAGGTTGAGGCATATTTCTCCCATGAAATTTATTCATATGTCGAGCAAGATTATCAGCTCTCGTGAATTTCACACAACACTCAGAACAATCA